GGCCCCCCCGACCCGTCCCCACCAGACCTGCCCCACTCACGCGTAGGCCTCGAAGTCCCCGTTGTTGACGGCCTCGATGAGCTGCTCCGTGATCTTGATGATCTCCTGCTTGCGGGCTGGGGGCACGTCACTGTCACTGCCACTGCCCCCGCCCCGCGGGGACACCGTGGGGGGCGGTGGACGGGATGTTGGGATGGACGTGGGACATAGAGGGGAGGCATGGGGACAGACACAGGGACAGACAGACCTTGGGGGCAGACAAACCTTGGAGACAGACAGACAGACCATGGGGACGGACCATGGGGACAGACACAGGGACCATGAGGACAGACAGACAGCCCTTGGGGACAGAAGGACCTTGGGGACAGACAGGGACCACTGTGCTCCCAAGGCCCCCACAGCTCTGCCACGAGTATCTGCATGATCCTCTCAGCATGTCTCAGCGCTACACCAGTGCCACCCCAGCATGTCCCAGTACCCTCCCAGCATGCTCAAGCATCCCAGTGCCCACTCAACACTTTGCAGTAGTTCCTAGTGCACCCCACTGTTATCCCTGCAAGTCCCAATACATCCCAGTGCCATTCTAGCACAACCCAATACAGCCAGTTCCATACCAGCATCTCCCAGTGCTATCCCACTATCTCAGTGCCATTCCAGTGCATCCCAGTACTATCTCAGTTCCATGCAAGTGCATCCCAACACATCCTAGTCCTATTGCACCCTAATCCTATTGCATCCCAGAGTATGCCAGTGAATCCCAGAGCGACTCCAGTGCCCTCTGATACATCCTATTGCATCCCAGTGCCATCCTATTGCCTCCCAGTGCCTCCCAACACATCCCAGTTCCATCACGGTGCAATCCTACCGCATTCCAGTGCCATTCCACTACATCTCAGTACTATTCCAGGGATCCCAATACACCCCACTTTATACCAGTACCATCTCAGGGCCATCCCAGCACATTTCAATGCAAACCAGTGCCAACCTACTGTGTCCCAGTGCCCTTCCAGCATATTCCAGTTCAGCCTAGTTCCATCCCAGTGCATCCTAGCATCATGCTATTGAATTCCAGTGTGTCCCAGTGCAATCCCAGTATGTTCCAGTATCATTCCAGTGTAGCCTGCTCCACTACATCCCAATGCCTCATTTCATCCTGATGCCACCAGTCACCCCAGTTTCATCCTAGTGCATCCCAGTGCCACTCCAGTGCATTCCCACACAGCCCATTTCCATCCCAGTATGTCCCAGTACTACTCCAGAGCATATCAGTACACTCAGTACACTCCAGTTTATCCCAGTGACATCCCACTACATCTCAGTGTCACAGTATGTATCTAAGTGCTATTCTAGTGCATCCCAATCCATCCCAGTACATCTCAGTTCTATCCAGAGCACCTCTTGGTACCATCCTAGCATGTCCCAGCATCATCCCAGTGCATCCCACTGCCACCTCAGTGCATGTCAGTGCCACACCAGTGTATGCCAATGCACCCCAATGCCACCCCAGTGCATGTCTGTCCATCCCTATGCCTTCTCAATGAATCCCAGTGCCTTTCCAGTATACTCTAGTGCATCCCAATACCACACCAGTCCATCTCAGTGCAACTTAATGCACCTCGGTGCCATCCCAGCCCCATTCCAGAGCATCCCAATGCTGTCCCAGTCTGGCCCCATGTGCTTGTAGTGCATCCCAATCCATCCCAGTGCCATCTCATTGCACCCCAATGCAACCTAGTACCATCCCAGTGCATCCCAGCATGCTCCCAGTGCATCCAAGTGATGTCCCAATGCACCCTGGAGGCATCTCAGGCCCATCCCAGTGCATCCTGGTGCCATCTCAGTGCATCTCAGTGCATCCTGGGTGTCATCCCAGCTCCATCCTAGTGCACACCAAATCCATCCCAGTGCATTCCAACTGTCTCCCAGTGCATCCCAGTGATGTCCCAGTGCAACCCAATGAGTTCTTTTGCCATCCCTGTGCCATTCCAGTGCAACCTAGTGCCATCCCAGTGCCATCCCAATGCATCCTGGTGCCATCCCAGATCCCTCCCAGTGCATTCCAGTGTTGCCCCAGTGCATCACAGTGCAACCTCAGTGCACCAACAGCATCTTGGTGCCATGCCAGTTCCATCCCAGTTCATCCCAGTGCAACTTAGTGCCAATCCAGTGCATCCCAGCTCTATTCCAATGCA